GAAGATGTGAATTACACGAAAGGTACAGACATGACTATCCAATATAACTAGAAAATCATTGTAGGTTATGTATATAAGCTACTGTGCCGAGTAGCAACCCTGTATATAAGCTACTGTGCCGAGTAGCATTTATATATATTATCACGTGGCAACACTGCACGTTATGTGGCAACATTGCCCCGAGGCTGCCATATGGCAAGGCAGCCTCAGTCTGACTGTGTGAGCCGTGCATGGCACACGCGAGTCACCACTTGTATTTCTCTCATCCATAATAAACGGACTTCAGTGTTACACGGTGTTTCCCTACCCATCACTGCATTCTTCAGGGAACACTTGTAACCACCAATCATCACTTGTGTTTACATTAAACCAAGGAACAACGAGTGAAGAGAACATTACCTGTGTGTCTTGTTTGACTTACAACCTAAGAGTACAACCCAGGACAGCTGTGACGATTTCAACTATCAACCAATCTACGACTGTATCAAAGGTGACATGCCGTGAGATTACCTGATATCCAGTGGTGGGCACGGTTCCTCTAATCCGCTAACCGCTAATTAGCGAAGCTAACTTTCTCGTTAGCGGATTAGCGTTTTCTCTAACTTTGGAAACCATTAGCGGACCAATTAGCTTCCGCTAAATTTAGTTACGCTAACTTTAAGTCCGCTAACAAAATTTATACATGTTTGTTCCTGTTTGTTGTAAGCGTGTGATGCCGCGACGCGTGTCTCCAACAGCCTGTCAGTCACCTTGGCTGACTGCGTGCTAGTACGTGTAAACGTGACAAGACATGATTTGTCGACGCCGCAGCTGAGCGAATGGAATTTTTCTATTATTAAAGTTAAATACTTTTTTACAGTAAATAAAGGCTGTCAGTGTATGTTGAAAGAATCATAGAATGTAGTTGTGAACTAATGTATAATTTCATTTCTCATTTATTTGTTAATTTAATTATGAGTTTTTGTGTCAATATATTTGGTAATGCTAAGTACTGCATAAGTTCATAACCAGGATGCCATCCAAGGTGTGCGCCAAACAAAATTGTCTAAAAACTTACTTTTCATTAAAGTTTAGAGTTTTCTGTTTATTTACATGACTAAGACCAACAATAAGTTACATAAAAATGCACTGGTATAATGTGTATGTGGTTGGTATCGCATATTTGCATGAATAATGAATGAGGCCGATAGGTTGTATGAGAATGCAAATTAATTATTTGTGAAATTGTGTACAGTGAACACCTTAATAAGTTGATCATCATCTGATCTTGGCATGATGCTATTTGCTACCTATGCTATACAGTACTATAGTTTTTGGATTCGTTTAATACTCTCTGTCTTTTCGTACAGTAAATAAAGATTATAAAGTGTATGTTGAAACTTGAATGTAAACTAATGTTTAATTTCATTTGTTCATTTAATTATTTGTGTACACCTTGATCATCATCTGATCTTGGCATGCTATACCTTTTTGGAAAGCCCTATGTCTAAGCTACAAGACAACATATGAAAATGTCAGCTCTCTAGGTCTGTTTTTAAGGGTTTTAGAGCCAAAAAAAAAAACCGAAGCTAAATTCATATAATAAAAGTTAGCTGTTAGCGTTAGCTTCCGCTATTTTTTTTAGCTGTTTAGTGGTTTAGCGTTAGCGAAGTTAACTTTTTAGTTAGCAGATTAGTGGTTAGAGAAGCTAACTTTTCGTTTAGCTGTGCCCACCACTGCTGATATCTCACTCAGCTGCATCAAAGGTACCAGCGACTAACCTACACTCATTCAGGCAAGTGTTTACAAGTGAGACAGTTTCATATCATATCACAGCTAAAACATACATACTGTAGAGGAGTAGGGTAAGGTTATGTTACGATAAGTAAGATGATACTGGAATATTTAAAGTAATTTTTAAGTATGTGCAGAAACATTAAGATTGGAAAGTGAGATTAGGAGAATTAGAGAGATGTCATGAAAAGTGACGTGTAACAGCACCTTCGCTTTATATAAAAATTCACCCAAATGAATAACACCAAGTTATTCACCATGTGAGTCAACATGCTATTCACGACAGATACTTTTTTTTTATTTATTGGGCATCCCCCCTACATCCTGTGTAAGGTGAAGCGCAGAAGCGTTTACAGCGCCCAACAGGGAAGCATGCTATGTTCATGTTTGCCTTATGTCTCATGAGTTAAGGGCGTAGAAGCCTGAAGAGTCAAGGGCGTAGAAGCCTGAAGAGTCAATGGTTTATGTCTAAGCAAGTTATTGGAAGCTCCAACAACTTGTTCCTGAATACGAATTCGCAACTTTCGATTTACAGCTGGTACCTACTTTGCTGCTAGGTGAACAGGGACCAAGGGAGGCTGGGAAGTGTGTCTGAACAATTTTCCACCAGCCCGGGAATCGAACCCGTGACATCTCGCTTGCGAGGCAAGAGCGGTACCGTTCTACCCACCAGTGCCCCCGACAGATACTTGGCCTGCTACTGTCAAAGGTCGAGTGCAGGTCAGCTGATTAATCAAACAAACGGCTCGCTCTCTCACGACTCTCTCATGCCCAGAGAAGGCAGTTGACTACTACCACTTGGACAAAGCAGTCAGACACTTAACTCAAGTGTTATCTCAAAGTGTTATTCACATCACTTCCCAGGAGAGAATTCATAATTTATTCTAAGACTAATTCAATGTATATAGCTGCTTCGAAAATAAAGGAAAAACATCAAGAAGTGTTTCCATCAAACCAGCCACTTAAAGAGTTCCAGAACTTAATTAAAACAATTAGTGTGATACCAAAACAGCTGTCACAGACGTTGCAATTAGTAAATAATGTTGGGATATAAAAAGTGATTCATGCTAAGGAATGCAAAGTGTAATAGGGTAATACAGTCGAATCATGCTTAGTAAAGTGGTGTTAAATATATACAGAAATGTTATCTAAAGTGGTGTTAGGGTGAACAAAATAATAATGTGATGTAATAGCATGTAGAGTGAAGTGATATTAAAATAAGTAATTTGGTGTTATAATATGTAAGGTGATGTTCAAGTAAAATTAAGTGGTGTTTGAATAGGTACAGTGATATTTGACTAAAATAATGTAGTATAAAAATATGTAAAGTGAGGTTTGAATAAAATAAACAGGTAATAATTAAAATCTGTCAATTAATTTTAAATGAATATAGTATTGCTAGAATATGTTAAAGGATGGAAACTTTTGACAGTGCAGTGAGGTTGTGCAATGTGACATTAGAGTAAAGTGATGTTAGGGTATGTAAGGTGATGTTAGGGTATGTAAAGTGATGTTAAGGTATGTAAAGTGATGTCAGGGTATGTAAAGTGATGTCAGGATATGTAAGGTGATGTTATGGTATGTAAAGTGATGTTAGGGTATGTAAAGTGATGTCAGGGTATGTAAGGTGATGTTATGGTATGTAAGGTGATGTTATGGTATGTAAAGTGATGTTAGGGTATGTAAAGTGATGTCAGGGTATGTAAAGTGATGTCAGGATATGTAAGGTGATATTATGATATGGAAAGTGATGTTAGGGTATGTAAGGTGATGTTAGGGTATGTAAGGTGATGTTATGGTATGTAAGGTGATGTTATGGTATGTAAGGTGATGTTATGGTATGTAAGGTGATGTTATGGTATGTAAAGTGATGTTAGGGTATGTAAAGTGATGTCAGGGTATGTAAGGTGATGTTATGGTATGTAAGGTGATGTTATGGTATGTAAAGTGATGTTAGGGTATGTAAAGTGATGTCAGGGTATGTAAAGTGATGTCAGGATATGTAAGGTGATATTATGATATGGAAAGTGATGTTAGGGTGTGTAAGGTGATGTTAGGGTATGTAAAGTGATGTTAGGGTATGTAAGATGATGTTAGGGTATGTAATTTGATGTCAGGGTATGTAAGGTGATGTTATGGTGTGTAAAGTGATGTCAGGGTATGTAAAGTGATGTCAGGATATGTAAGGTGATATTATGATATGGAAAGTGATGTCAGGATATGTAAGGTGATGTTAGGGTATGTAAAGTGATGTTAGGGTATTTAAAGTGATGTTAAGGTATGTAAAGTGATGTCAGGGTATGTAAAGTGATGTCAGGATATGTAAGGTGATATTATGATATGGAAAGTGATGTCAGGGTATGTAAGGTGATGTTATGGTGTGTAAAGTGATGTCAGGGTAAGGAAAGTGATGATAGGGTATGTAAAGTGATGATAGGGTATGTAAAGTGATATTAGAGTATGAAGTGATATTCGGGTATAAATAGCGATGTTAAGGTATGTGATGTTAGGTTTTATAATTGATGTTAGGGTATGTATCGTGATGGCTGGGTATAAAAGTGGCATTGAGGAATATAGATTAAAGTAAGATTATGTAAGGAGTTATTAGGGTGAGTAAGGCTTATCTGTGTTCGTGTTGATAATGGCGGGAATGGAAACTAAAATATGTTATCTGGTATTAGGTAATATATGGACATCAGAGTCTGGAAACTTCAGAGCATCAATAAATATAATTAGTGCAAGCAGTAGAAAACATCGATTTAATTTTTTTTAAATATATTTTGTGAACAAAGAGACATGACGAGATATTAGAAAGATTGTAAATCAATCTGAAAACGATCTTGAAATTACAATGTATAACAATTAAAGATTAGAAAAAAAAATGAGAAAAACGATTTAAGATCAGATAAAAGTCCATTGCCACATGATTGTTTTCCAAACACTCATGCACTTTGCTTACCTTAACGTTAATCACTTTTTATATTCCAACATTATTTACTTATTGAAAGGGTCACTTTATATAGCATCTCTGCTATATACTCATTAACGACTCCTTCACGGACACACACAGAGACGCAGAGTGAAAACATAAGTTAGTGAGCCTCAGGGAAATTAAAAGAGCCTGAAAGGAGAATTAACTACTGTATATGAAACAGTAGAAGGAATGGTTTTTGTCAGTTGATACTTATGTGTGTGTGTGTGTGTGTCTCTCTCGCTAATAAACTTACTACAGAAAGGGCTGTCAGGGCCAGTAATGAGATACATCTTCTTGAGTGGCACATCAGGTAAGGAGTAGTTGAGATATGAGTCAGTATGAGCACCCATCCTGGCGCACCTCGACCAGTCGTCCCCACACTCCCAGCACAGACCCTTCCAGTACGCCTCCCACGACCCACATTCTATCGACAGGAAGGGGCACTCGCTGTTGATCGATTCTGTGAAGTATTCATAAGAGCGGATGTGGTTGCATCCGATGAAGCGACGGAGACCTGGAAGAAGATAGGATCAGTTTTAGTATGATTATATTAAAGAGCTTGGTACGTGTGTGATAAACACGAAAATAATTTTTTCACTACCTCTTGCTGTAGGTTGATTCACATTTGGAAAAAAAAAAAAAAAAAAAAAAAAAATATATATATATATATATATATATATATATATATATATATATATATATTTACTGGAAAATTTCCATAAAATTATGAAAAAATAATGTAAAAGCACTAACACTTACTCCTGCACATGTGAGGTTCCTGCAATTGTAACGGATGAATGACTTTTAAGGTTTTGAAGACACCTTTTGAATCTCTTTATTACTGTAAGGTTGACAAGGATTTGATAAAAAAGTCATTTTTAGGATATTAAATATATTTCTGAAAACAGATAATGCTCTCAAAAGAATTAAGAGGATCTCTTGATTGCTTACTGAAAATCGATCCTTTTTACTTCATTTTCGAAAAGACTTTAAAAGAACAAATACACGTTGCCATCATTAGAGTGACCATAGCATACTAGTGATGGCTCCATACGAATACTGTAATGACTTAACATACTAGTGATGACTTCACATACTAGTGGTGAATTAACATATTTATTGGTGACTTAAAATACTAGTGATGAATGATGACTTAACGTAAGAGCAGTGATTTAATATAATAATGTTGACATTGACATTTTTGTGATGACTTTTACATGCTAGTGATGACTCAACATACTAGTGATGACTCAGCATATTAGTAATGACTCAACAAACCAGTGATGACTTAACATACTAGTGATGACTTAACACACTAGTGACGATCTTAACATACTGGTGATGACTTAACATACTTATTGATGACTTAAAATACTGGTGATGACTGATGACTTCACATACCAGTGATGAGTTACCATACTAGTGATGACTCAACATACTAGTGGTGTCTTAACATAATAATGATGACATTGACATTTTAGTGATGACTTTGACATACTAGTGATGACTCAACATACGAGAGGTGACTCAACTTACTAGTGATGACTCAACATACTAGTGATGAATTAACATACTAGTGGTGACTTATCATACGAGTGATACCTTAGCACACTAGTGATGACCTTAACATACTGGTGATGACTTAACATACTAGTGATGACTTAACATACTAGTATGGCTCAACGTACTAGTGATGACTTAACATACTATTGGTGACTTAACGTACAAGTGATGACTTAACATACTAGTGGTGACTTATCATACTAGTGATGACTTAACTCACTAGTGGTGACCTTAACATACTTATTGATGACTTACAATACTAGTGATGGCTGAGTATAATAATGATGACATTGACATTTTAGTTATGACTTTAACTTACTAGTGATGACTCAACATTCTAGTGACGACTCAACATACTAGTGATGACTCAACATACTAGTGATGACTTCACATATTAGTGGTGACTTGACATACAAGTGATGACTTAACATACTAGTGGTGACTTATCATACTAGTGATGACTTAACATAATAATGATGACATCGACATTTTGGTGATGACTTTGACATACTAGTGATGACTCAACATACTAGTGGTGACTTAACATACTAGTGATTTCTGAATCTACAAGTTATGGCTCAACATACTAGTGATGACTTAACATACCAGTGATGACTTAACATACTAGTGATGACTTAACATACTAGTGATGACTTACCATACTTGTGTTGACTTATCATACTTATCATAGGATGAGGGTGTGTTTGCCAGGGGCTGGGGTGGGGGATATAGTTGACAGCATGGACAATATCTTGTCTGGTAATGGGAACAAACCCATTACACTGGGGAACACACTTTCGGTTGCATGAGTTCTGACACTTGATTCTGGTAGATTTGAGGTCACAGATTCTGAAAATGGCATTCGTTTGTGCAGATCAGGTCTAGATTCAGCAATCAGGCCTGTGCCCCATTCAGATGATGTTCCAAAGCCTATCTTCACTCAACTTGCTTCCGTTGAATCTGACAGTGAATATGACACTGAGGTCACAGAGGAGTCAACTAACAGAAATAGTGACTCAGATTTTGCAGGCATATCAACAGAACCGCAAACATTTAGCCAAGCAGAACTCAATGACTTAGTTCGAGATCTGGGTCTGTCTAAAAAGCTGTCAGAATTGTTGGCTTCAAGGTTAAAAGATAAAAACTTGCTGAAAATAGACACAAAGGTAACATTCTTTCGCAACAGAGAAAAGAACCTCTTACAGTTCTTTGATTCTAAATTTGACTTCGTCTACTGTTGTGATATTTCTGGATTAGTCACCGCGATGGGAGCTCCAGGTTATGATCCGAAAGAGTGGCGCCTCTTTATAGATAGCTCTAAGCGGAGTCTGAAGTGTGTTTTATTACATATAGGCAACATCTTTGGCTCAATATCCATAGGACACTCAGTACACCTGAAAGAAAAATATGAACACATCAAAACGGTTTTGGAGCTACTCAAATATGAAGAACACAAATGGATCATCTGTGTTGATCTAAAAATGGTCAATTTTTTGCTAGGACAGCAAGGTGGGTATACAAAATTTCCTTGCTTTATCTGCCTCTGGGACAGCAGAGCCAAAGACAGACACTGGATTCAGAAGGAATGGCCAGTTAGGGAAAGCCTCAATGTTGGGGAAAAGAACATCATTTATGAACCCCTAGTGGAACGTGAAAAAATTTTTTTCCCGCCCCTTCACATCAAGCTGGGCCTTATGAAACAGTTTGTCAAGGCGCTCGATACTGACAGTGACTGTTTTAAGTATCTGTGTGAAGTGTTCCCTGGTTTAACGCTAGAAAAACTCAAAGCAGGTATTTTCGACGGCCCTCAAATTAGGACGCTGATTAAAGACCAAGCCTTCACTCAATCCATGACTGATGTTGAGAGAAATGCATGGGGAGCATTCGTTTCTGTTGTAAGGAACTTTCTTGGAAACAGGAAATCAGAGGACTATAAAAAGCTCGTTGAATCTTTGATGGAAAGTTTCCATGTGTTAGGTTGCAACATGAGCATTAAGATGCATTTCCTGAACAGTCATCTTGAACTGTTTCCGGCAAACTTGGGGGACGTGAGTGATGAGCAAGGTGAACGCTTTCACCAGGATATCAAAGTCATGGAAGACAGGTATCATGGTCGCTGGGACATTCACATGATGGCGGACTATTGCTGGAGCATTCAGCGAGACTGCACTGAGAGGCGATATTCAAGACAGTCCATTAAACGCAAGTTTGTGCCTGAATAAATCTGGCATAGTTCACAAAAGCAGCTGATGAATCCAAAATATGCTTGTCAAGGTAAATAAAAGTAATTAAAAATTAATTCTACGTGTTAGGTAATTCCTCTCTGTGTGCTGGTTTAGATTTTTAGCAGTAGTATATGGTAGTCTAACTATATATAGTAGTAAATGGTAGGTAACTCACCGCAACAAAACTAGACCCGATAGAAAAAAACCGGTGCCATATTTGAAATCAGTGACCTCAATTTACCCAGAAACAGGTCTCAAAATGTATGCAACTGACAAAAAGTTTAATTTTGTTCCCCAGTGTTATCTGCCTCAGTGCAGGAGGCAATGATATTGGCCGGTGTAGGATGAAGAGCTTCTTGATAAGTTCAAGACAGCTGTAGATCGTATTAGGACTAAGGGAGGGATCCCTATCATATGTGGTGTCCTGCCTAGAAGGAGAGTTGGCAGTGAATGGTTGTCAAGGGCAGTTGGTGTCAACGGCCGTCTTGACGGATATTGCAAGTCAATATCAGTCCCAGTCATTGACAACTGGGACAACTTCTACGGCAGAAGGGACCTTTATGCTAGGGATGGGGTACACCTGTCTCGGGATGAGGTGGCAACCCTGGCTGGGTCTCTAGAGGGGGCAGTTCAAAAGATATAGATGTCTTTAAACTGCTAGGGGAACATATGGGCACGGGGGTGGAGGAGACTGCAGTGGGAGGGGGTAAACAAAGTAAAAGATTACAGGGAAAGAGTGTTAGGAATGATGACAAAACTAAATTAGACAGGGAGTTTAAACCTAAACGCGGTAAAGGGAGGACTCAGAACATGACTAACTTAAATGTCTACTACGCGAACAGTAGAAGTATGAGAAACAAAATGGATGATATTAGGGCCTTGGTATGTACCGAAAAAATCGATATAATAGCATTCACTGAAACATGGATCAACCTAGACTCACGTGAGTTACCGGTCGAATACCAAATTGCGGGTTACAAATTGTTCCATGCAGATAGGCAGACCAGGAAAGGAGGCAGAGTACCAATCTCTGTCAGGGATAATCTGAAGTGTGAAATAAATAAGGAAATAAAAAGTGAACGGAATACAGAATAAATTTGGATAGAATTAATCGACGGTAGGGAAAAATTAATCACAGGAGTAATATATAGATCTCACAATCTTAATAAAGTAAATGAGCGACTTATCTGCGATGAAATGCACAGGGCTTCCATACACAACAAAGTCTGTATAGTAGGCGACTTTAACCTTGGCCAAATAGTTCGGACTGACCTTACGGGTAACTCAGAATCAGAGGATTTTCTCGAAACGATCCAGGACTGTTTCCAAAGTCATCATATAACCGAACCCAACCGGGGTAATAATCTACTCGATTTAGTTCTGTCGAACAGAGAAAACCTCATTAGCAATGGCGAGGAAGGGAACGAGCTAGCAAACAGCTATCACAAAAAAATTAGATTCCAGTTAGATTTTCATGGCAGACGTAAGGAAAATTCCACTAAAGTACCAGATTTCAGAAGGGCAAACTTTGACAGTTTGAAGAGGCAGCTGAGGGAGGGGGTGTCGCTCTTGGGGGTGAGCTACACGACCTCACATGAGGTGACCTCACTCAATGCACCCACAGAGGGCGACCTCACCGTACCAGGAGACCTGACGGTTGAGACTGGCCTGATAACGAGATCTGAGATTGCCGAGTTCCACAGCAATTTAAATAATGAATTACTTAATGCACAAAGGCAGAACATACCATACAAAAAACTCAGATCAGACAACAGTGACCCTAAATGGATAAATAATTATTTAAAGAACATCATTGGCCAAAGGAAGGCTATAGGTAGAAGGATAAATCGTGGCGAAATTTACCTCCGGGATTATTATAGGGTATTGGCGAGTAGGGTTAAAACCGAGATAAGGAAAGCCAAGAGGAATAATGAGGTAAGGATAGCAAGGGAGGCGAAGACAAACCCCAAAGGATTCTACCAAATGTATCAAACTAAAACACGAGAAAAGATTGGACCAATATGGCCAGAAACCGGCGAGCTAACTGATAACGACGGAGAAGTGAACAATAATATGAATAAATATTTTTCAACAGTTTTCACCACCGAAAATTTAAACATGATACCCGAGGCACCGACTCTATTCAGGGATAGTGAAGAAAACAAATTAAGCGAGATAGTAGTGACTAGTAACGATGTTAGTAAGCAAATAGACAAACTAAAGCCTAATAAGTCGCCTGGTCCCGATGAGATATTTGCCAGAGTATTAAAGGAATGTAAGGAAGAGCTTAGTATGCCTTTAGCAAAGTTGTTTAACATGTCCTTAAAAACAGGTGTTGTACCAGAATCCTGGAGGACAGCGAATGTAATACCGATTTCAAGAAGGGGGATAGATCATTATCCTCTAACTACCGCCCAATCAGTCTAACATCAATAGTAGGCAAATTACTGAAAGCACTCATTTCAAATTCTATTCGAAATCACCTAAAGAAGCACCAATTGATCAATGATTCCCAGCATGGCTTCACAAGCAGACTTTCATGTCTAACTAATCTATTAACATTCTTTTCGTCAGTTTTCGAATCGGTGGACGAGGGCACAATTATGATGTGGTTTATCTCGACTTTAGCAAAGCCTTCGACAGAGTCCCCCACGAAAGATTACTTAGAAAGGTAGAAGCACATGGCATCAAAGGTAATACCCTTAAATGGATTAGGGCATGGTTACAGGACAGGAAACAGCGAGTGAGCATTAACGGCACTAAATCCCATTGGAGCAACGTCAGTAGTGGAGTTCCCCAAGGCTCAGTACTTTGACCATTATTATTTATTATATACATAAACGAAATAGATATCGGCATAGACAGCAACATAAGTAAATTTGCTGATGACACTAAAATAGGACATGTTATTAAATCTGACGAGGACTCCGTAAAACTACAGGAAGATCTAAACAAATTTTTCGAATGGTCTGAAAAATGGCAGATGAAGTTCAACGTGGACAAATGTAAAGTACTCAGTATAGGAGATGTAAACAGGGAAACCAGTTACCAGATGAACAACAATGCCATTGAGAAATCCGACTGCGCAAGAGAGATTTAGGAGTAATGATAAGTAGGAATCTTAAGCCAAGTAAACAATGTGTTTTTGCTCATAACAAGGCTAGTAAAGTACTTGGGTTCATACAAAGGAGTGTTAATTTCAAGACTAGCGAGGTCATCCTAAAACTGTATCTTGCGCTTGTGAGACCACACCTGGATTACGCAGTTCAGTTCTGGTCACCGTATTACAGAATGGATATAGAATCCTTGGAAGGAATTCAGAGGAGAATGACAAGACTAATCCCGGGCATTAGGAACCTTGAGTATAGAGACAGGTTAAAGCATCTTAATTTGCATTCCCTCGAGAGACGTAGAGCGAGGGGCGACCTGATAGAGGTGTATAAATGGAAGTCAGGGCTAAACACACGGGACATTACAAAGGTACTCAAACTATCCAACCAGGAGCGAACTCATAACAATGGTTTTAAGTTAGACAAATTTAGATTTAGGCGGGAAATAGGTAAACACTGGTTTGGAAACAGAGTAGTGGATGAATGTAACAAGTTACCAAATATCATCATTAACTCGAACACGCTGAATAGCTTCAAACATATGTTGGATGCTTATATGAGCAATAGGGGTTGGGTGTAAACGGTACTGCCCAGTATGGGCCAATAGGCCCGCTGCAGTTTCCACAATTCTTTTGTTCTTATGTTCTTAGTGATGATTTAACATAATAATGATGACATTGACATTTTAGGGATGACTTTGACATACTAGTGATGACTAAACATACTGGTGATGACTCAACATACTAGTGATGACTTGACATAATAATGATGACACTGACATTTTAGTGATGACTTTGACATACTAGTGATGACTCAACATACTAGTGGTGACTTAACACACTAGTGGTGACTTAACATACTGGTGATAACTTAACATACCAGTGATGGCTCAACATTCTAGTGATGACTTAACATACTTGTGATGACTCAACATACTAGTATTGACCTTGACATACGAGTGATGAGTTAACATACTAATGATGGATTAACATACTAGTGATAACTTAAGATACTAGTGATGACCTTAACATTTTAGTGATGATCTTAGAATACTAGTAATGACTCAATATACTAGTATTGACCTTGACATACTGGTGATGAGTTAACATACTAATGATGAATTAACATACTAGTGATAACTTAAGATACTAGTGATGACCTTAACATTTTAGTGATGATCTTAGAATACTAGTGATGACTCAACATACTAGTAATGACTTAACACACTAGTGATTACTTACATACAAGTGATGACTCAACATACGAGTGATGACTCAACATACTGGTGATGACTTACATACCAGTGATGACTTACCATACTAGTTGTGACTTAACATACTATTGTTGACTTAGCACACTAGTGATGACTTAACATACTAATGATGACTTAACATACAAGTGATGATTTAACACACTAGTGATAACTTAACATACCAATGATGACTTAACATACTACTGATGACCTTGATATGCTAGTGATGACTTAAGCATACTCGTGATGACTTAACATACTAGAGACGACCTTGACAGTTTAGTGATGATCTTAGCATACGCTTAATGACTTAAAATACTAGTGATGATTGATGACTTAACATACTAGTGGTGACTTAACATACTAATAATGACATTGAAATTTTAGTGATGACTTTAACATACTAGAGATGACCATGTCATTTTGATGATGACCTTAGCATACGAGTGATGACTTTACAAATTATTGTAGTGATAACTTTATATACTAGTGATGATTTTACATACTAGTGATGACTTAACATACCAGTGATGATTTAACATTCTATTGATGACTCAACATACAAGTGATGACCTTGACATTTAATGATGACCTTACATACTATTGTATTGATAACTTTACATACTAGTGATGACTTTACGTACAAGTGATGACTTTTCATACTCGTGATGACTTAACATACTAGTGATAACCTTGGCATTTTAGTGATGACCTTTGCATACTATTGATGACTTAACATTCTAGTTATGACTTAACATAACAGTGAGGAATTAACATATTAGTGATGACTTAAACATACTAGTAATGACTTAACATACAAGTGATGACCTTAACATTTTAGTGATGACCTTATCATACTAGTGATGACCTTATCATACTAGTGATAACCTTATCATACTAGTGATGACCTTACCGTAAGGAATGTTGCCCTGTTCCTTGGCCACCGCATCAACAAAGTGGGCGCCACACCCAGGCATTCTCACACCTCCATTGGGGTAGAAGTCAAAATGGCCGGATGGTTGAAGTATTCCTAAACCTGTTGGTGGAGACATGAGTAAGGAAGGATCCCAAATCTGTGAAAGGATCCCAAGGTCTGCAAAAGGATTCCCAAGGTATGTTGAAGGATTCCCAAGGTATGTTGAAGGATTCCCAAGATATGTTGAAGGATTCCCAAGGTCTGTTGAAAGATTCCCTAGGTCTGCTGAAGAATCCCAAGGTCTGTAAAACGGATCCCAAGGTCTGTAAAAGGATTCCCAAGGCATGTTGAAGGATTCCCAAGGTATATTAAAAGAATCCTTAAGTCTGTTAAAGGATCTCAAGGTCTGTAAAATGATCCAAAGATGTGTTGAAGGATTCCCTAGGTCTGTTGAAAGATTCCCTATGTGTGCTGAAGAATCCCAAGGTCTGTAAAAAGGATCCCAGGGTCTGTAAGAGGATCACAAAAGTATGTTGAAATATTCCCTAGGTCTGCTGAAGAATCCCAAGGTCTGTAAAAAGGATCCCAAGGCCTGTAAAAATTATCCAAAGGTCTGTAAAAATTATCCAAAGGTCTGTAAAAAGGATCTCAAGGTCTGTAAAAATTATCCAAAGGTCCGTAAAAAGGATCGCAGTTCTGTACAAGTATGAGTAGGCAGTTATTTTCTCTCTCTCTCTCTTAATGTATGCAGCTTTTTTATTTGTATATTCACCCGAGTGATATTATATCCATTATTTTTTCAGTTTGTCTAATTTTAAGCCAGTGTTTTGGAGACAATTATCTTTGTACCAATCAGTTAGATTAGACTAGTGGTGCTCAACCTATTCTGCAAGAGGTCAAACTATGTCTAGCAGTACTTGGGGCCAAACAACTGTGCGAATGGTGTCAGTTGAAGCAAATATCGGATACTTTATAGCACTATATAATTAGGTATTTGAATCAAACAAAGACGGTATAATATTACAAGAAATTAATGCTTAAAGTTAAACATATTAAAACAAAATCGTATATCGCACGTTCCTGCTTCATTTATGGAAGGGGGTCGTATAGAAATTGTTTTGCGGGCCAGATTCGGCCTGCATATCACTGATTGGGCATCCCTGGTCTAGACAGTGTGGATATGCATGTTTTAATGTTATATACTGGACACTACATTCGATTTCATGTTTCAATATTATTTATCAATTAGACATTACATACAGCCAGCACACATCACAGGATCCTTGGTGCAAGTTGCTTGTACTCAAGGGGGATTGGTTAAGTTACGAACTCCAACGCCTCCACAGTGGCGGGGGGTTAAATCAGTCATAAGATACTGCTGGTGCTTTAAACTCATACGCTTCTGTGAAGTCTGAACAGTGGTTACCTCCTAACAGTCTCTATATACAATTAAATGAGAATATAAGAGATCATAATTTTGTAGACCAGTGGTGTCACTCAACATACTCAAGTGGTGTCACAAACACTAAGAGACGGTGAATACAATTATTCTGGTACAGTCCATATCATCTCTTCACTCAGTGTCCTTCAATGTGCTTCTAGAACCAACAATCCTCTACACCACAGACCTATATAATTACATAAAAGCTATAAGAGGAAGACAAAGACACGTGTACTAGCATCATTAGTATTATTTAAGACGGTACCACAGACACTACTACTACTATTACTACTACTTTGCAGTCACTTGGAATCGAGTATGACGATCATCCATCTATGATAGAATGATGTGACTTATTAAGGATCATACCTTCGTTGGTGAGCTCTGAGCTGGCTCGAGAGGCCGATACGCTGAACATGTGGAGTGCTTCATCTAGTGCGGGAGGGGTTGCAGTAACGTCTTTCCGACGCTGGTACTTGTCTGCCTCGTTATGCAGTTGGGCTAACTCAAAAGTATTGACACCTTCTCGTGTGGTGCCTCTCCAAACGTTACGGTGTGGAGAAATCGTCTCCCAGATGAGGGGGTCGATTTGACATTTTTTTCAGGTTTGTCTTAAGACTATCATGATACCATTTCCGTTGTTTGTCCGCCAGCATTACGCTTGCAATTCGTTAGGTGACTGTAAAGTAGCTGCTTTGGCAGTCTACTGTCGTCCATGAGGGTAACATGGCCAGTTCAACGAAGTTTTTCATGGATAATGGTAGCCTCGATGCTCCTACAGTTGTTGTTTTTAAGCATACTGGCATTTGTTCTCTTGTTTTCCCAGCGAACTCAGAGGATGGAACGTAGACTACGATAGTGAAAGTTTTCAAGTGCCTTAAGGTGTCTCCGGTATGTGACCCATGTCTCGCTGCCATACAACAGGGTGGGGAGGACTACTGCTCGATACACGTCTTTTATTGAAAAATCCCTTCATCCGGTACTGGATGTCCATACTGCCGGCTAAACTGGCACTGGCACAAGTAGGGAAGGCAGCCAAGAAAATAGAAAAGATAGCTGGTGCCAGTACACACCCTTGTTTAACCCCGGTTTCAATGAAGAAGAACTCAGACTGGATGCCATTGTGTAGGACACTGCCGTTCATGCCATCGTTAAGTTACCTCACGATGACAATGAATTTTGGTGAGCAGCCAAAACGACTGAGGGTCTGCCAGACGGCTTCCCTGTTGACCAAATCGGAGGCCTTATTAAGGTCAATGGAGGTTGTATACAAGTCACGACCATGTTCTCTGTACTTTTTTCTATATTTGGCGGGCAGTAAAGATCATGTCAGTGGTGCCACTTGATGGTCTAAAGCCACATTGAGATTCTGGGAAGATGTTTTCCGCCTCAGGAAGTAGTCTGTTTAGGGAGACTCGGGCTGTAATCTTACCAGCTACGAACAGCAGTGAGATCCCGCGGTAGTTACCACACTCTGACCGGTCTCCCTTGTTCTTATAAATATTGACGATCGAGGCGTCTTTAAGAACTTGGGGGATTTCCCCCTTCTCCCATATAAAGGTATTTTCCAAGAGAGAGTGAAGACAGCTGGTAAGCAGAGGCTCTTATCCTTTTTACACCTCGGCGGGGATTCCATCAGGCTCTATGGCTTTGTTATTTTCCATCTGCTTGATGACAGTAGCTACCTCATCCAGGGATGAAGGATAGAGGTGGGTTAGCACTGGGTGCTGAGGAGCCTGCAAAATAGTTAAGACATCCACACGGGTGTTTCGGTTGAGCAGCGAATGGTAGTGCTCTTTCTAGTGCTGACGGATGCCTTCTTTGTTTTTAATTAGGGATTTACCGTCGGATGAGAGAGGAAGGAGGCCATGCCATAAGTAGTTGGGCCATATATTGTTATAGCAGATTTAAAAAATTCACGCATCTTGTGTTAATCTGCATTTTTTTTTGCATTTCACATGCTATATTTTCCACCAATCGTTCGTTAGTTTGCCAAGTTCGTGCTGGACCTCGCTTTCTTCTCCGCTTTGGTCCAAGACTTAAGTTTGTTCTGCCCGTCAGTGAGAGCAGCATGTTTACTATTGACGAGTACTTCGATTTCCAGGTCGTTTTTGTCAAACAAATCTTGGTGTTTTCTTTTGATCTGGCTTCGGGTCTCGTTGTAGGTTTTGTGATGACAGCTTTGATGGGACCCCATTCGGCACTTGGATTAAGGTTATTTTCATTGGGCTATTTCTGTCATTAATATAAGTTACATGACTTAATGTTTTCTTTATATTATTGTAAATATTCTTTTATTATTTCATAACTTGATCTGTGTATTATTTCATTGTTTTATGCACTCTTATATTGGGGGATAAAGTATGATGATATATTTAGGATGGTATTAATGATTATAGGGGTACGTGTTGGGAACGCTGTGGATATCGATGTTCTTTTGTTTTTGATGTTTACGCCGGGAGACGGGGAACGGCTAGACAGGTTCAGGTTTTTCCTTCCACTGCCTCCTTGCTTCTATCTGAGGTGCACCGGAGGGGGGGGGGGGCGTTCAGGGGATCCTATGTATGTGGGGATTCTGGTTGCTGCTGTGTATGCGGTTAAGACTTGTATTTGCCAGGTTAATATAGGATTTTGCCCTTAGAGTTGCCCTAAGTGTTTGTGTTAGTGTTAAATAATTTTTGTATTCTTTCTTGTAATGGTATTTACCCAGGTCGTACAAGTATTGGCCCTAAGTATTCTTGGATAGGAGTGTTTTTGTACATAATACATGTAAATATGTAAGATAAGGAATAATCATATTTATTTTTTGTATCATTAACACTGGTCCAACTCTCACAAAATATTTTCTCATATATTAATATAATTGTGAGTGACCTATACCTAAGAATATATATGGTCATTTAGTTCAGAGTTTCCATGGGAGCTTTTTGTATTTGTGTTGGGTTACTGTCCCAGTGCGCCTAAATCTAAATTTGTCTAATCTAAAACTATTGTTACGAAATCACTCCTGAATAGTCTGAGTACCTTTGTAACATCACCTTTGTTTAGCCCTGACTTCCATTTATACACCTCTATCATATTGCCCCTCACTCTACGTCTCTCGAGGGAGTGCAAATTAAGATGCTTTAACCTGTGTCTGTACTCAAGGTTCCTAATGCCTGGGATTAGCTTTGTCATTCTCCTCTGAATTCTTTCCAAGGATTCTATATCCGTTCTGTAATGCGGTCACCAGAATTGAACTGCGTAATCCAAGTGAGGACTCACAAGCGCAAGATATAGTTTTAGGATGACGTTGCTAGTTTTGTAACTAACACTCCTTTGTATGAACCCAAGTACTTTATTAGCCTTGTTTCGAGTAAATACATATTGTTGTCTTGGTTTAAGATTCCTATTTAGCATTACTCCTAAATCTTTCTCACAGTCGGATTTCTCTGTATTAACTTTGTTCATCTGATATCTGGTTTCTCTGTTTAAGTCTCCTAGTCTAAGTAACTACATTTGTCCACATTAAATTTCATCTGCCATTTTTCAGACCATCCACAAATCTTTTTTATATCTTCCTGTAGTTTCGTAGACTCCTCATCAGATTTAATTACACGCCCTATTTTAGTGTCCTTAGAAAATTTACTTATGTTGCTGTCTATACCTTTATCTGTGTCGTTTATGTCTTTAGTAATTAGTAATGGTCCAAGTACTAACTGAGCCTCGGGTACTCCACTAGTGACGTTACCTCAATCGGATTATAGTGCCGTTAATGTTGACACTCTGTTTCCTGTCGTGTAACCACGCCCTAATCCATTTTAGAACATCTCCTCCTATTGCATGAGCGTCTACTTTACGTGTTAGTCTTTCTTGGGAGACTCTGTCGAAGGCTTTATTAAATTATTAGTCAACAATAAGAAAATACGATAAATGAAGTGAAAATTGAAGCGACAATTAAAACACAAAGAAAAACATATATCACCTGAAAATTAGCCATCCCTGCTAATTTATCACCTGAAGATTAGCCACCCCTGCTAATTTATCACCTGAAGATTAGCCACCCCTGCTAATTTATCACCTGAAGATTAGACACCCCTGCTAATTTATCACCTGAAGATTAGCTACCCCTGCTAATTTTACTCAATGATTAGACACCTTAATTTTTCCTGGGTGGGAGGGGCTAAATTTGTTTATGTTAGGTTAGGTTAGGTTAGCGTTACTGTGGTTTATCGCAAGGTTAAATAAACGGAGGGCTTATCTTCAGGTGATCCGACATAGGTATGACCCCCCCCCCTCTCCAGGGCTGTACTTACCACCAGTTATAATAGGTCCAGCGTCCGTATGTATGACGTCCACTAACTCGGCGTCTGTTGGGTCAAGTCTCACCACCGGGTCCGTCCCTTCAAAATACGGCTCGGCTGGGTCCAAACCTGTAAGTCAAGTCAAGTCAAGTCAGGTTAGGTCAAGTCAGGTCAGGTTAGGTCATAAAACAGGTCATTTCGGTTTAGGATTATTTAAGTATCAGGTTATATTGGATGAATTAGCAGGTTACGTTAAGTTAAGAAGTAAGTTAGGTTAGATGGCAGTCCATGTTAGGTTAAGTGGTACAATATGTTAGGAGAGGTGGCAGGTCATACAAGGTTAAGTGGTAGGTCATTATTAGGTTCAGTGGTAGGTCATACTAAGTAGTTAGTAAGTGGAATAAAAAGTTAGGTTAGAGGTTATGCTAGATTAAGTGAAGGTTATATTGGGTTAAGTGCCTCATGTTCAGGGCAGGTTAAATAGCATTATTGGATTAGGAAATTTAGCATATCAAGTCCGCCTCAGTGGCATGTGATGTTAGTTTGGTTAATTGTATAATTAGTGTAGTAAGTGGCAGGCAAGGTCACAGTGAGACAGATTGTATGAGTGTGGAAACACAGAAGAAGGCAGAGTACTCCACAGTTTGACTGTGTGAGGAAAGAAGGAAATACTATAACGGATTATTCTAGTATGACCGACACCCACACAGAAAAGGTGGGCACCGAGGGCAAGATGAGTGTTACGAGCCCACGGCCTTGTAGGCCACTGAAAGCCAAATCCATCGAACATTGCCCGTTAAAGTACTTGTAAAAGAGAGTTTGTGAGCAACATTGCGGCGAAGAGAAAGGGAAAAAAGATTGTCAACTAAAGGAGGAGAGTAAATAAGACGGAATGCCTTTGATTCCACCCTATCTAACAGTTGGACAGAAGAAGAGCCACCCCAGATATGAGAGCAATACTCCAAGTTAGGACGAATGAATCCCTTACATACTTGGAGCAACTGCTCAGGAGTGAAGTAGCTACGGCATCTACACAGCATTCCCAGCTTTCGGAAGGCAGCTTTAGTAATGTTGAGGAAGCGTGGCTTCCATGCCAGGTTAAAGGAAATGGTGAGGCCTATCATATTTATTAAAGAATTTGGCAGAATGATAGCGTCCTGAAATGTGATTGGTGGGAGATCATCTTATTTGGAAAGTGTAATTGGTAAATACTGAGTTTTATTACTATTTAATTTAACGAAGTTTCTACCTCCCTCTTAAGAGATGCTGCACAGATCTGCATTGATAGATGCAATGATATCAGCTATAGAAACAGATCTAGTTTGGAAGTTAAGGGGAAGGGGAAAATGTGAGGAAGAGTGAAGAGTTGAATCATCAGCGTAAGAATGGATAGAATTAGTTGTAGTGTGAAGTAAATCATTGATAAAAAGAAGAAAGAGAGTAGGTGAAAGAACAGAACTCTGTGGGACACCACTACTGGTAGAGAAAGAACGAGAGATCGATCCCTCGACAACAACTGCCATGTATCGGTTCTCAAGGAAGCTAGAGATTAGAGTACAAAGTGGGGGAGAGAAACAATAAGAAGGAAATTTAGAAAGCAAAGACTTGTGCCATACCCTGTCAAATGCGTTGGAGATGTCGAGGGCAACGACGAAAGTTTCCCCATAATCCCTAAGAGAGGCTGACCAAAGATGGGTGCAGTAGGAGAGCAGATCACCAGTAGATCTCACCTGGCGAAAGCCATACTGGTGATCCAACAAAAAAGCATTCAAGGTGACAGAGAAAATGGGAGTTCAAGATGGTTTCGAAAATCTTAGAGAGGGATGAAGTTAGGGCAATGGGGCGATAGTTAGAGGGATTAGAATGGTCACTCTTCTTCGGGATGGGCTGAAACAAGGCATGTTTCCAAGAAGAAGGAAAAGTTTGTGTTTTGAGGCAAATGCGAAAGAGGCGAGAAAGCACAAGGGCCAGAACTTCAGCACACTCCCTCAGAACATGAGGAGGTATTCCATTTGGTCCATGCGCCTTACTAACATCCAGCCTGGATAACACACCAGCAACCCTACGAGTGGAGATTATAGGAAAGTGCACAGGGTTCAGTTGGAGGAGCAGAAGTAGGAGGGATAGAGTTCGAATCGTCTAAGGTGGAGTTAGAGGAGAGTAAGGTGCCAAAGAAATTGGCTTTTTCAGGGGGAGAGTTGGCTATAGAGTTATCAGGTCGGAAAAGAGTGAGTGCAGAAGTTATTACAGGTGTTTTAGGTTAAGGACCAGAAGGATTTACTAGAGGAAGAATTAGTCAGGACAGCGGTCTTTCTTTCTATAAAATTCAGCTTGGCCCTACGAAGAATAGCCTTACAACGATTCCTAGAAATGATGAAAGAAGTGTGGGTAATAGGAAAAGGAGATAGTTTCATAGCTTGATATGCCCTATCTCTCACCCTGCATGCAAGAGAGCAGGAGCGATCAAACCATTATTGTGAAATGAAAGTTTTGGTAGAAGATGGGATAAATGCACTCATATAACCCTATATAACCCCAGCAAATGCTATCAGCACATACCGAGGCGTCCCGAGTGGAAAAACAACATTCATCCCAAGGAAATTCGGTGAAGAATTCTCGCAAAGATTGACAGTTTGCCCTCCGATAGTGCCATAGTTGACGTTTAGAGGGGATGAGGGCGGTGGTCGTACCCAGTTTGATTTTATAGAAATAAGATTAATATCAAAAGACCCTAAGAGGGAAGAAATTGAGTATGAATAGTGTGAGGGGTTACAGGTAAAACAAAGATCAAGAATGTTAGCAAGTTGATCGTGTCGATCAGGAACGCGTGTAGGGTGTTTGATTATTTGTTCCAAATCATTAAGTACGGAAAACGAGAGCGCCTCGTCTCCACCTGGGTCATCCCTTGCAGGGCCAAGCCACTCTCTGTGATGTACATTAAAATCCCCTCGGTAGAGGATCTCGGTGTTGGGGTGTGTGGATAGCAACAACTCATGGTAAGAAGTGAGAGAGTCAAAGAGCTCCAAATAGTTGGTGAGTTGGGAGAACAGTATAGGAAACAAAGAAAAATAGTCACAGTTGAAAGAGATATTTTGAGCCAGATAACATCAAAAAGGGAAGATTCAAGATCAGTGAGTCGATCTATGGGTGTACATGTGTTTCGGTAAGCGCATACACCTCCCTTAGAACGGAAAGAGGTACAAAGGTTGTATTTGGAGACTTGAAAAAGTTTGGGTGAAGAGGCTGTGGCCAGTTGAAGTTGAAGTAGTAAGAGGTCGGGGAAGAGGTTAATAGATGGTGCTCCACAGAAGGAAAATTGGTATCTCAGGCCGCGAATGTTGGAAAAATGAAGTGTGAAAAAAGCCGATCCCCCAGCAAACCGCTGTGACGTCAGTTGAGGCCCCAGTAACTTGATGATGATCAGGTCGGCCCTGGGGTCCACAACCTTCCCGACCAGTGGGACCCATCCGAGAAGGCCCCGCTTCAATTTTAATATCAACCGACATAGGAGAATAAAATAGAATGAATAGAACAGATCAAGAGTGAGTATGGTGATATTTGTGGTGTTGTCAATAGTAAGAGAAACAATTGAGACCCTGCAATTGTGTGTAAATGAGGCAGAAAGTCAGATGAGCAACCTGGGACTTGGTCACAATTTTTGTGATGTCATATGACAGCAGGGTCTACCATTAAAGAATACATTATGCTTCAAATATCTTCCCAGGCGGTAGTACCTCCCTGATAGTGTAGTAAGTGGCAGGCTACGTCACAGGATGGTGTAGTAAGTGGCAGGCTACGTCAGAGGGTGGTGAGTAAGTGGCAGGTTATGTCACAGGATGGTGTAGTAAGTGGAAGGCTACAGGATGGTGTAGTAAGTGGCAGGCTACGTCACATGATGATGAGGTAAGTGGCAGGCTACGTCACAGGGTGGTGTAGTAAGTGGCAGGCTACGCCACATGATGGTGAGGTAAGTGGTAGGCTACGTCACAGGATGGTGTAGTAAGTAGCAGGCTACGTCACAGGATGGTGAGGTAAGTGGTAGGCTACGTCATAGGATGGTGTAGTAAGTGGAAGGCTACGCCACATGATGGCGAGGTAAGTGGCAGGCTACGTCACATGATGATGAGGTAAGTCGCAGGCTACGTCACAGGATGGTGTAGTGACAGGCGTCACAGGGTGTGAGTAAGTGGCAGGTTGTCACAGGATGGTGTAGTAAGTGGCAGGCTACGTCACAGGTTGGTGAGGTAAGTGGCAGGCTACGTCACAGGATGGTGTAGTAAGTGGCAGGCTAAGTCACAGGATGATGTAGTAAGTGGCAGGCTACGTCACAGGATGGTGTAGTAAGTGGCAGGCTACGTCACAGGATGGTCAGATAAAAGACAGGCTACGTCACATGATGGTCAGACAAGTTGTAGGCTACGTCACAGGATGGTCAGACAAGTGGTATGCTACGTCACATGATGGTCAGCTAAGTGGTAGGCTACGTCACAGGATGGTGGCAGCTACATGATGGTCAGACAAGTTGTAGGCTACGTCACAGGATGGTCAGATAAGTGGTATGCTACGTCACAAGGTTTTTCAGCTAAGTGGTAGGCTACGTCACAGGATGGTCACCTAATTGGCAGGCTACGTCACAGGATGGTGTAGTAAATGGCAGGCTACTTCACATGATGGTCAGGTAAGTGGCAGGCTACGTCACATGATGATGAGGTAAGTCGCAGGCTACGTCACAGGATGGTGTAGTAAGTGGCAGGCTACGTCACAGGATGGCAGGCTACGTCACAGGGTGGTGAGTAAGTGGCAGGTTATGTCACAGGATGGTGTAGTAAGTAGCAGGTTACGTCACAAGATGGTGAGGTAAGTGACAGGCTACGTCACAGGGTGCTGAGTAAGTGGCAGGTTGTCACAGGATGGTGTAGCAAGTGGCAGGCTACGTCACAGGTTGGTGAGGTAAGTGGCAGGCTACGTCACAGGATGGTGTAGTAAGTGGCAGGCTACGTCACAGGATGGTGTAGTAAGTGGTAGGCTACGTCACAGGATGGTGTAGTAAGTGGCAGGCTACGTCACAGGATTGTCAGATAAGTGACAGGCTACGTCACATGATGGTCAGACAAGTTGTAGGCTACGTCACAGGATAGTCAGATAAGTGGTATGCTACGTCACATGATGGTCAGCTAAGTGGTAGGCTACGTCAGAGGATGGTCAGCTAAGTGGCAGGCTACGTCACAGGATGGTCAGATAAGTGGTAGGCTACGTCACAGGATGGTGTAGTAAGTGGCAGGCTACGTCACATGATGGTCAGGTAAGTGACAGGCGTCACATGATGGTCAGACAAGTTGTAGGCTACGTCACAGGATGGTCAGATAAGTGGTAGGCTACGTCACAGGATGTTCAGGTAAGTGGCAGGCTACGTCACATGATGGTCAGCTAAGTGGTAAGTTACGTCACAGGATGGGCAGATAAGTGGTAGGCTACGTCACAGGATGGTCAGCTAAGTGGTAGGCTACGTCACATGATGGTCAGATAAGTGGCAGGCTACGTCACATGATGGTCAGCTAAGTGGCAGGCTACGTCACATGATGGTCAGATAAGTGGCAGGCTACGTCACAGGATGGTGTAGTAAGTGGCAGGCTACGTCCCAGGATGGTGTAGTAAGTGGCAGGCTACACCACATGATGGTCAGGTAAGTGGCAGACTACGTCACAGGATGGTCAGATAAGTGGCAGGCTACGTCACAGGATGGTGAGATAAGTGGCAGGCTACGTTACATGATGGTCAGCTAAGTGGTAGGCTACGTTACATGATGGTCAGATAAGTGGTAGGCTACATCACAGGATGGTCAGACTAGTGGCAGGCTACGTTACATGATGGTCAGCTAAGTGGTAGGCTACGTTACATGATGGTCAGATAAGTGGTAGGCTACATCACAGGATGGTCAGATTAGTGGCAGGCTTCGTCACGGGATGGCCAGATAAGTGGCAGGCTTCGTCACAGATTGTATTTTTTACACTAAGAGGCGAAATTTATCTAATGACTTTCAATTAAGGACCTCTTTATGTCTGGTCAAAAGAATAGTCACATATCTTTCTCTCTCTCTCTCTCTCTCTCTCTTTACCTGTAATTCGACCGAGTATGGCACCGTGGCTCTTGAGGTATTCTCCTGTATACCCAGCTAACTGTGCACCCAGACTGTGTCCCACCACGTGTATGTGTTTAGAAGGCACCCCTAGTTGATCCTGTAAGAAAAACAAGGAATTAATATTAATGTAGTATAAGGAGAGAGAGAGAGAGAGAGAGAGAGAGAGAGAGGGAGAGAGAGAGAGAGAGAGAGAGAGAGAGAGAGAGAGAGAGAGAGAGAGAGAGAGAGAGAGAGAGAGAGTGCATAGGAACGAAATACGGTGAAGAATCATCCTGTAGTCCCCTCAAAACTAACGGGGAAATTTTTATAGGAATGGACATTTGGAGAGATTGCTGTCCCATACGACCATAGTCACATTGTCACTGTGCCACCTACCTCCGCCCACCACCCACCAAATACCCACCAAAAAATCACCCACCCCAAAAATATCACCCACCACCACCCACATGCACTACGTCAATGGAACAGTTAGATGAACAACTAGAGTTATTACTAAGATCGATTGGATGAAACTTCACTTGCTATGACATTATCCAATCTAGTATGATATGATCCAAACTAGTATGATATGATCCAGTGTAGTACGATATTATCCAATCTAGTATGATATGATCCGTGTAGTATGATATGATCCAGTGTAGTATGATATGAACCAGTGTAGTATGATATGATCCAATATAGTATGATATGATCCAGTGTAGTATGATACGATCCAATCTAGTATGATATGATCCAGTGTAGTATGATATGATCCAGTGTAGTATGATATGATCCAATATAGCATGATACGATCCAAGCTAGTATGATATGATCCAGTGTAGTATGATATGATCCAGTGTAGTATGATATGATCCAATATAGCATGATATGATCCAATCTAGTATGATATGATCCAGTGTAGTATGATATGATCCAGTGTAGTATGACATGATCCAATATAGTATGATATGATCCAGTGTAGTATGATATGATCCAGTGTAGTATGATATGATCCAATATAGTATGATATGATCCAGTGCAGTATGATATGATCCAGTGTAGTATGATATGATCCAGTTTAGTATGATATGATCCAGTGTAGTATGATATGATCCAATATAGTATGATATGATCCAGTGTAGTATGATATGATCCAGTGTAGTATGATATGATCCAATATAGTATGATATGATCCAGTGTAGTATGATATGTTCCAGTGTAGTATGATATGATCCAGTGTAGTATGATATGATCCAATATAGTATGATATGATCCAATATAGTATGATATAATCCAGTGTAGTATGATATGATCCAGTGTAGTATGATATGATCCAGAGTAGTATGATATGATCCAATATAGCATGATATGATCCAGTGTAGTATGATATGATCCAATGTAGTATGATATGATCCAATATAGTATGATATGATCTAGTGTAGTATGATATGATCCAGTGTAGTATGATATGATCCAGTGTAGTATGATATGATCCAATATAGTATGATATGATCCAGTGTAGTATGATATGATCCAATATAGTATGATATGATCCAGTGTAGTATGATATGATCCAATATAGTATGATATGATCCAGTGTAGTATGATATGATCCAGTGTAGTATAATATGATCAAGTGTAGTATGATATGATCCAATATAGTATGATATGATCCAGTGTAGTATGATATGATCCAGTGTAGTATGATATGATCCAGTGTAGTATGATATGATCCAGTGTAGTATGATATGATCCAGTGTAGTATGATATGATCCAATATAGTATGATATGATCCAGTGTAGTATGATATGATCCAGTGTAGTATGATATGATCCAGTGTAGTATGATATGTTCCAGTGTAGTATGATATGATCCAATATAGTATGATACGATCCAATATAGTATGATATGATCCAGTGTAGTATGATATGATCCAGTGTAGTATGATATGATTCAATCTAGTATGATATGATCCAGTGTAGTATGATATGATCCAATGTAGTATGATATGATCCAGTGTAGTAGGATATGATCCAGTGTAGTATGATACGATCCAATCTAGTATGACATGATCCAGTGTAGTATGATATGATCCACGGTAGTATGATATGATCCAGTGTAGTATGATATGATCCAATACAGTATGATATGATCCAGTGTAGTATGATATGTTCCAGTGTAGTATGATCTGATCCAATATAGTATGATACGATCCAATATAGTATGACATGATCCAGTGTAGTATGATCTGATCCAATATAGTATGATACGATCCAATATAGTATGACATGATCCAGTGTAGTATGATATGATCCACGGTAGTATGATATGATCCAGTGTAGTATGATATGATCCAATACAGTATGATATGATCCAGTGTAGTATGATATGTTCCAGTGTAGTATGATATGATCCAATATAGTATGATACGATCCAATATAGTATGACATGATCCAGTGTAGTATGATCTGATCCAATATAGTATGATACGATCCAATATAGTATGACATGATCCAGTGTAGTATGATATGATCCAGTGTAGTATGATATGATCCAGTGTAGTATGATATGATCCAATATAGTATGATATGATCCAGTGTAGTATGATATGAGCCAATATAGTATGATATGATCCAGTGTAGTATGATATGATCCAGTGTAGTATGATATGATCCAGTGTAGTATGATATGATCCAATATAGTATGATATGATCCAGTGTAGTATGATATGATCCAGTGTAGTATGATATGATCCAGTGTAGTATGAAATGATCCAGTGTAGTATGATATGATCCAGTGTAGTATATGATCCAATATAGTATGATATGATCCAATCTAGTATGATATGATCCAATCTAGTATAATATGATCCAGTGTAGTATGATATGATCCAGTGTAGTATGATACGATCCAATATTGTATGATACGATCCAGTGTAGTATGATATGATCCAGTGTAGTATGATATGATCAAATATAGTATGATATGATCCAGTGTAGTATGATATGATCCAATATAGTATGATATGATCCAGTGTAGTATGATATGATCCAGTGTAGTATGATATGATCCAGTGTAGTATGATATGATCCAATATAGTATGATATGATCCAGTGTAGTATGATATGATCCAGTGTAGTATGATATGATCCAGTGTAGTATAATATGATCCAGTGTAGTATGATATGATCCAATATAGTATGATATGATCCAGTGTAGTATGATATGATCCAGTGTAGTATGATATGATCCAGTGTAGTATGATATGATCCAGTGTAGTATAATATGTTCCAGTGTAGTATGATATGATCCAATATAGTATGATATGATCCAGTGTAGTATGATATGATCCAATATAGTATGATATGATCCAGTGTAGTAAGATATGATCCAATATAGTATGATATGATCCAGTGTAGTATGATATGATCCAGTGTAGTATGATATGATGCAATATAGTATGATATGATCCAATATAGTATGATATGATCCAGTGTAGTATAATATGATCCAGTGTAGTATGATATGATCCAGTGTAGTATGATATGATCCAGTTTAGTATGATATGATCCAATATAGTATGATATGATCCAGTTTAGTTTGATATGATCCAATATAGTATGATATGATCCAGTGTAGTATGATATGATCCAATGTAGTATGATATGATCCAGTGTAGTATGATATGATCCAATATAGTATGATATGATCCAGTGTAGCATGATATGATCCAGTGTAGTATGATATGATCCAGTGTAGTATGATATGATCCAATATAGTATGATATGATCCAGTGTAGTATGATATGATCCAGTGTAGTATGATATGATCCAATATAGTATGATATGATCCAGTGAAGTATGATATGATCCAGTGTAGTATGATATGATCCAGTGTAGTATGATATGCTCCAATATAGTATGATATGATCCAGTGTAGTATGATATTATCCAATATAGTATGATATGATCCAGTGTAGTATGATATGATCTAGTGTTGTATGATATGATCCAATATAGTATGATATGATCCAGTGTAGTATATGATCCAGTGTAGTATGATATGATCCAGTGTAGTATGATATGATCCAATATAGTATGATATGATCCAGTGTAGTATGATATGATCCAATATAGTATGATATGAGCTAGTGTAGTATGATATGATCCAGTGTAGGATATCATCCAATCTAGTATGATATGATCCAGTGTAATATGATATGATCCAGTTTAGTATGATATGACCCAGTGTAGTATGATATGATCCAGTGTAGTATGATACGATCCAATATAGTATGATATGATCCAGTGTAGTATGATATGATCCAGTGTAGTATGATATGATCCAATATAGTATGATGCGATCCAATATAGTATGATATGATCCAGTGTAGTATGATATGATCCAGTGTAGTATGATATGATTCAATCTAGTATGATATGATCCAGTGTAGTATGATATGATCCAGTGTAGTATGATATGATCCAGTGTAATTATGATATGATCCAGTTTAGTATGATACGATCCAATCTAGTATGATATGATCCAGTGTAGTATGATATGATCCAGTGTAGTATGATATGATCCAATATAGTATGATACAATCCAATATAGGATGATATGATCCAGTGTAGTATGATATGATCCAATGTAGTATGATATGATCCAGTGTAGTATGATATGATCCAATATAGTATGATATGATCCAGTGTAGTATGATATGATCCAGTGTAGTATGATATGATCCAATATAGTATGATATGATCCAGTGTAGTATGATATGATCCAATATAGTATGATATGAGCTAGTGTAGTATGATATGATCCAGTGTAGGATATCATCCAATCTAGTATGATATGATCCAGTGTAATATGATATGATCCAGTTTAGTATGATATGACCCAGTGTAGTATGATATGATCCAGTGTAGTATGATACGATCCAATATAGTATGATATGATCCAGTGTAGTATGATATGATCCAGTGTAGTATGATATGATCCAATATAGTATGATGCGATCCAATATAGTATGATATGATCCAGTGTAGTATGATATGATCCAGTGTAGTATGATATGATTCAATCTAGTATGATATGATCCAGTGTAGTATGATATGATCCAGTGTAGTATGATATGAT